GAAGTGGTAGTCTACTAAAGTGTTAGCAAGTTCTAGAGACCTGCTTTAATGAATAGATGGAAATAATTTCCAGCTACTACATTAGTTTGTTCATTGCAAATGGCTTTTTCCTCCCCAAAACTAAAGCATTCATTCTGGGATGCCGCATTTTACTTTTAGCTTTTAGCAAATGCATCTAATCTATTTCAAATTCACTTCAACAAATATTCTCCTACAAGGCAATGTGACAGAATGGAAATGTACATGTGTTTTAGAGTAAGATTTGAATTCAGATACTGGATCTTCTATATCTAGACATGGGGTACTAGTCTCATTACTTAAACATCCCTGAGTTCCCCCATCTGTGAAGTGGGAATAATAACAACTTTTGCAAACTGGCTGTGAAAATCAGCAATAATACAGTCTATTTTAGGGGCACCTGGGTGGTTCAGTGGGTTAAGCCTCTGCCTTTGGCTCAGGTTATGATCTCAGGGTCCTGGAATCAAACCCCACATCAGGCTCTCGGCTCAGTGGGAAGCCTGCTTCCCCCTCTCTTTCTCCCGGCCTCTGCCTACTTGTGATCTCTATCTGTCAAATAAATAAATAAACTATTAAAAAAAAATATATATATATATATGTGTAGTCTATTTTAAAAGGAGCTAGTGCAAACAGTAGGCACTCAATAAAATGGTAACAACATAAAATAATGATTAGTTATCAAAAATCGACAAAGGATACACTTCATCTTAGACCCTTCTCCAAAAATCTGAATTTATAACATCTAAATGAATGAGGATTTAATTCATTCTTAAAATGACTCCAATGCTTGTTTTAGTCTATTTTGACATATTAAAAATTATAGCCACTAAAGATTAAAAGGCCATCATTGAAATAATTATCTTTACTAAAGTATCACTGTCAGGGTTTTTTTGACCAAAAGGAAATCTATTGTTACCACTGGCAGATAGGTTTTAAGTCTTGAGAGAACATCAGTGTTTTAAGGTACCAGAATAATAAAACAGCAAGAGAATGGTTTCTTGACATGGAACTTCATGACTAAAAGCCTAAATTAAATAATACGGTTCAGTAGTATTAATGTGTTTTCACACTACCTACCAAGTTTTCAGACTGCACTCTACTTATCCTTTTTAAATTACTATCAGTATCTTCTTTCATGGGAAATTTCTAACAAATTACTTTGAGAAGCCAAAAATTTACAGTGGAAAATTTTTTCCCTAGTCCTTTTTTAGAAAAAAAACCTATTCAACAGGCAAATCTAAATAATTTTTAGCAGTTCTAAATGTAGTGAATTCATGATTTCTTACTGTAATTGAAGAGGAACATATAAAGCAATTACTTAGTCACTTATAAAACCCACGTTCGACTTTCGAAATAATGACTAACCTGATAGGAGAGACAAGACTTTTATAATTAAATACTAAAGTCTAGCCATTTGAGATAAGCACAGCAGGTTATATAATTGTCCCCTGCACTCACAATATCCTTTTTTTCTCTTCTTGGATGCATATCATTTTTCAGTAATAATAGAACATGTAACAATATAAAAAAGTCACTGTACTGTAGGAAATCCTTCTAACCACAAGCTAAATTTTTGGCCAAGAGTAAAGCCTCATTAATTAGGATTTCACAGTTTCATAAGGGGGGAAAAAAAAGGTGCCCATTAATAATGTAAGTAAAATTCCCTGGAGAATCTGTTAGATTCTTAAGGAAACAAAACAGTAAGCCTTAGGCATTCATTTACATATAAATACTTGGACCATTAATTGAAAAGCATTCCTAGCCAGGGCAGGATGGAATTTTCAAACTTGGATACTCTTAAAACCTCTTTCAGTGCCGTAGGAGAATGGGAATGGGAAGAAATGGGACACATGACATCTTTTGCTAGAAAGCTGGGCTGGCTCCTGTGCACACACATGTGCCTGAAGACACAGAGCACAGTCACTACTCATCCAGGGACTTTTCCCAAGCTCCTTACCTTCAGGTGGAGCCACACAGCTAGCTCTCATCAATGGACTATGAAGAGAAGATGCCCTGTCCTTTCAGGGCTCTGGTGATTAAGAAGTATAATGCTCCTTTTTTATGCTCTATCTCTTCCACCAGCCAGATGCAGACAATCAAAAACCTCAAAAGATGACATTATGGGCTGAACTGTGTCCCCTACCCCACATTCAGATGGTGGAAGTCCTAACCATCAATATCTCAGAAAGTGATGTTAATTCAGAAATGGGATTATTATAGATGTCATTGTTAAAATGAGGCTTAGTGCAACAGGGTGAGCCCTAATTCAATATTACTGGTGTCCTTATAAAAAGGGGAAATTTGGACAGAGAGAAGACAGTATGGAGGGACACAGGGAGAAGACAGCCATCTACAAACCAAGGAAAGAGACCTGGACAACTAACTGATCTTCAGAAAGAACCAGTCCTGCTCAACTTTGAGCTTGGGATTCCTAGCCTCCAGAGCTGAGAGAATAAATTTCTGTTATCTGAAGTGCCCAGTTTGTAGTACTCTGTTATAGCATCCTGGAAACCTAATACATCTGGTAAAGCCAGAAGATAGAAGGAGCCCGAGTTCAGGATTTCTGAACAACTGCTGAATAAAAGCAGTTCACTGACCAGAGAGACTGACACTGGACTGGTACTTTGGCAAGAAAGGAAACTTTCATTGTGTCAAACTGCTGAATTTTGAGGACCTATTCATTATAATAATGAAATTACCTGATAAAATACTTAACTAAGTGATTAAACTGGCAAGTAATTTTTAAAGTTACTTTATATGAATTAGAAAACATGAACACATCATAGAGAACAGTATAAAATCCATGTAGATTTTTAGAATAAAAAAGAAGTTCAAAAAACATTGTGAGTTTACAAGAAGATATTTTGGGGTAATTCCCCTAAATCCTCCCCAAGGTACTAATTTACTCTCCTCTGCCAGTAGAAGTAGAATTTCCTCAAGAATTTCAAATAAGCCACAATGTCAAGGTTGCTATACATAGTTTAAATTATGTTATGCTATAATTCACTTAAATTTGTTTCAATTTTGTAAATTCAGAGGGACACTTCTCCCAAGTGGCTCCAGTGTATTACTTGGGTGCTAAGGACAAGAATATTGTAAATAGAGATCTCAGGTTTTCCCAGAGTTCTCAATATTATTTGTAATCAATCTGAAGAGAAGTCACTATGTAACCATCATCTTTTGCTCTCAAATACAAATAAAAAAATGTACTTCCTTTACCATAAGTTGAATAACATGGAATCAATACATCGTTTTTCAGTTTTTGATCATTTAATTAATTTATTTTTACCTCATGTGATGAAAAAGTAAAAGGCTATCCTAGCTAAGACATAGAGTTTTAATTCAAAATACCTCAAAAGCCGAGCTGGCAGCTGGGTTCTCATGTTTACAGAAAAGCTAAGATGATTCAGCCTGTGCTCAGAGCTCAATTTAGATCCCAGCGTCTGGATTCCAAACACATGGAAGATGTGGCGGCAGGTTTCCAGGTCATGATGGATCCAAGATCCAAGACTGAGACCGGCGACCACTGACCAGAACAATTCCAAATGGAGAAAGTACCTGAGGGAGAGAGAAACCTCAAAGGTGTTTGGAAGACCTGGCCATAGTCAGCTCTCCAAATTTCAGTAGCATAAGCTTTTCCTGCAGCTGGCAGGTGCTGGGGAGGCCAAGGCAAGGCAGCCAGGGGAATGTTACTGAACAGTCCTCAAGTCAGCTTTGTCACGGTCAAAAAACATCTCTCACAGATGACTTCTTTCCTGAAGCAGCTATTGTTCAGATTAAACTATAGGAATCTGGTCAATGGAAAACCTTAGAGAGCACACGCTTCCTGCTAAGATCAGCGCTTAACTTTGCTTTGTTTCAAAGAGAAAAACTGGGGTACAGAAAGGGAAAAAATATTTTAACAGCATGTTTTTTTTTTTTTCCTCTTGGTGAGAAGAAATCATAGCCACTGTAACTATAATGTGGGCTACACACTGAAATCTAAGAGGGGGGAAAAATAGTAGCACAAAATCTTCCCAGCCCAATTTTATCTCCATCAGAATTCACCTCGCTCCTTCCTTAATTTTCCTTGGATGTGATACATCCAGAACCTTGGTGGTTTTGCAGCTACAGATTTTATGTGAGAGAAAAAAATACTTACCCTGCTGCTTCTCCTCACCTTCCCCCTCTGAGGTCTCTCTCCCTCTCTCTCCTTCTTGTCTCTTTGTTGTGAATGTCAGGACTGTCAGTGTCACGGTCTGACATGATTAGCGTTTCTGACATTACACCAAGAAGCAGACACAGAGCAAGGAAAGCGGGTGGAGGGGGACGAGGGTTAGGATGTGCAGCCATTTAAAGCCAAAGGGGGAAAAAAAAAAGGAGACCCAACCTCCTTTCTCTGAGGTTCCTTGATTATAGGGCAACTTATAAATCACCCTGGATTTTCCTCATTTATCCAATTAGTCCGTTTTCCTGCTCCTGTGGAGATCACTAAGGTGTGCGTCTGTTCTGCGAGATCAAAGTCGGTGGCTCCAATAACAGATAAGACAGAATTCGTGATTCAGCAGATCCTAAGGCTGTGAAGTATAACAATCCGCACTTTGGGAAGATAGCACCAGTCCATTTCGAGTATCGATTCACTGCACTTTGTCACTCTAATGATGTTATCTCATTAAAAGAGATAAATGCCCCACTGTTCTTCCCAGAGCATCTGCTTCTTACTCTTCTTTTTCAACAGCATGGCTCTCAGCAGCAGCACATTAAAATCAAATTGAAATCCAATGCAAGGCTTGGCGACAGAGCTGCTTACCGAGGCTTCTTTTTAATTGCTTTTTCTTACTCTCGCACCCTTCCCGCTCCCCCAACAACTGTCATCCGTAGAAACACCAGAATAAAGAGAAACAGATGTAGAAAGTAATCATAATAGGAAGCATTCACTGAGTGCCTATTATGTGGAGCCTCCACCGCGTTGACCTTTACTTTGCCCACCTTGACCTTCCCATGTAAGCAGAACGATCTCCAATGTGCAAATGAAGAAATGGAGTCTGAGGTTAAGGTGCTTGCCCAAGATTACACAGGTAATGGGACAAGCGTGCAACCAATGCAAATGCTTTTCTTTAGCCCCCGTTTGCATTCATGGAGCAAATAAGAAAATATGACTACAACTTGATTAGAATAGGTAAGGAGAAACATGTAGAACACGGTAGCAATTATTCTCCAGCCTGCTAATACCAGGAACATAATGCCATAGGCAGTGCAATAGTTTTGTTTCAACAGATTTCTTATTAAATAAAAAAGGTAGCAATTTTCCATAATGAATGTTTTATACATTATTCCTTTGTGTATCAGGCCTCTAAAGTACACACTATTAAAGTCTATTAAAGTCTGTATTTAGCAGCATTACTAATGTGCCTTTGGGGAAATTATTACAATGAAACAGCATCAGTCTTTCACAAAATTTCAATTGTTTAATATTCCTCTTCTGATCTTTAATACACATGTCTATTTTTAGCTATAATCAGACCCCATCCAAAATGCCATAACGCCAGCCTAGAGCTGTTACAACAAATTGTTTATGGGTTGGATTTACGAAAAAACAAGACACGCAGATATTGCTAATTTCAACCAATCTTTGTTTTCTTCTAAAACTCATTGCTACTTCAATGTTCTAATTAACAGGTGCTTCTTGATCACTGTGACATGTGATGACACTCTAACTCTCTGGTTAAGGTTGGTTATCTTAATTAATTGCTTATACTTATATCTAACTGAGACTGGCCTCTCAGGATAATGCCACTTTATTAAAATCTGAGGGTGGTAAGAAGTTATAAAACTATTCCACGAAGAAAAGAAAATCAAATAAACTAGAAGAAGATACAAGCTGTGATTAATAAAATCTAAATGTTTTCATCTAAACCTAAACACAGTCATTTATGAAAGACTAGAAATATGTCTTCTGAACATTAACTAAGGACTGTCTGCAAAAATATGTAGTTTTATATACTCGAAATAGGTATCTCTTCTCTTCTAGGACATTTATTAATTTTTTCACAAAATATGAGGTTTTTAAGAATGAAGCAAATGGGGCACTTGGGTGGCTCAGTTGGCTTAGTGTCCGACTCTTGGTTTTGGTTCAGGTTGTGATCTTGGGGTTGGGGTTGGAGGATCGAGCCCTGCTTAGGGGCTCTGTGCTCAGTACTGAGTCTGCTTGGGATTCTTTCCCTCTCCTTCCCCTCTGCCCCACCCCATGCATGCACACTCTCTCAAAGAAATAAATAAAATCTTTAAAAAAAAAAAAAAAGAATGAAGCAAAAAAATGCACATATATGCAAAAATACAATGTTCTCTGAAAACATGGAAAACAATGTTAGGAGTATTTTACAGAGACAAAAGACCAAAAAAGGAAGCTGGAAAGAATACTAACAAAGGGCTAAATGCTATAATAAGATAGCTGGACCACAAGAAAGGGAGGGGGAAAAGGGCAATTTAAAGTACTAGGTACTCAAATTAATAAGCTGGGGTGGAAGTAATCTTTCATTTATGCATTTCCCCGGATACATAGCAATACCATCGTCTGAGCTGATATGTTCGCAAAATCAGACAAATTGAGTTGTTAATATTCTAAAGATGGACAAACCACAGATTAAGTACCTAAATAGTCATGTTTCCAATCACCCAATCACCAATTAACTAAATAAGATGTAACTTAATTGTACCCATTAAGGACTACTAATTGAGAGGAGAAGGGCAGGATTGAGGACTTGGAAGACAGAAGCATTCCTCTGCATGATTCACAAAGACCAGAATCAACTGGCCTCTTTGTTACAGGACCCGGCTACCACCAGCATCAAAGAAAGAGGTCGCAGCACACATCCCAGGCCCAAAGGACCTGTCTAATTATGCCGTGGGCCTGTGTGGGCTTAGTGATGCAGATATGGTGATGCAGAACGAGGACCCACCGGTTTGGTCAACACTTAATTAAAGCTCCACATGGAGGCTGGCATGGGGCAGTTCACCAATATAAAAAAAAAAAAAAAAAAAAAAAAAGCAAAACTTGCTTCAGTCAAGAAAATCCTAGGCACTATTCTTTAAATCTGCCAGAAATAAGGACGAATGAGATTCCCAAACCAACGATCACAGTGTATGTGAGGGGCCACTGAAAAAAACCAAGGTGAAACTGAATGTCCTCTTTCATTCAAGTGAAACCTATTTTATGGTCAGTAGAGGTGGCCACATTTCAAAGGGCTTATCGTGATTCAAAACGAGGCCTCTCAGACTTGAAATTATATTACCGTCGTGTCAAAACATATCTCTTCTCCTGCTGGGGTCATTACTGTCTTAAACCCGAAGTCCAGCCTTTCTACTCCAAAGCCTTAATTTGCCTCCCACCTGTTCAGCTTCTCCTTCATCTTTTCTGACATGATTGGGAGCTGTTAAGTCAGGCCCCTGACAAGCTCCACACTCAAGTGAAGGCCCCGGCGCAACCACGTGAACCCTGCCCTGCGCGCGCGTGGTCTGAGGGCCGGTGCGGACTTGAGTGCATCAGTGTGTGATTCATCTGATGCTCCACTGCTCTGGACAGAAAGCTTCAGACTTTCCACTCACACCCGGACCACAAAGACTGCTTCTCAGAGAAGTAGGCACTGACCGCTGCGCCGCCATCATCCCCTCCGAGATTCAGAGGTGAGCTGAGACCAACTGAACTGGGTTTCCGTGAAGCAGAAAGGAGGAGAGGTCTCAGTACTGAAATAAAAGCATCGATATTGCTTCCATGGTAGAAATGACTAGAAATTATCAAGAGAGATTTCCACATAAAGTACGAAGCATTTCTCAAATAGCCTGTATGTCTTATCTATATTTACTAGCACAAATGAGTTGTATACACGCATACATTTTATTTATTTTTAAAGATTTATTTATTTGAGAGAGAGTGAGAGAGAGAGAGCACAAGCAGGGTGAGGGGCGGAGGGAAAAGCAGGCTTCATGCCGAGCAGGGAGACCGACACGGGGCTTAATCTCAGGACTCTGGGATCGTGACCTGAGCCAAATGTAGCTGCTTAACAGAATGAGCCACCCAGATGGCCCCCTCGTGCATACATTTTAAAGACAACTAAGCATTAACACACTTAGTTAATTCTTTTAAATTTGTCTTCTCTCTACTTCATAGCAAATTGACCATCTACTACATTACATTTAAGTCTGTATTCCCATACCTCTCAGAAGGGAATTATAGTCCTGTTTTCTTCCTAAAAATGCACTGAATTTCCCAGTGTGATAAACATGGAAGAGAATGGAGGTCCAGGTTTGCCATTTCTGTCCCTCCCCCACTTAGCAGAATCTGACTTACACGTAAGTAACATGGGTGTTACACTGGCCTCGTGCCAATGATGTTCCTTTTAGTCTCATGAACTCCATAAAATGGTTTTGTTTTGTTTTTAAATAAGGACTAAGCTCATTCTACATCCTTAAAGATGTAGAAGGTGAGACCAGATGTGACACAATACCCAGGGCGCTCACTGCTCTGAGCCCCAGGTCCAGCTTCTTCCTAGAGTAAGGACTGCCAAACACAAGACATAGGCACGGGCTAGCCCACGGCTTCTCAAACTCCTATCTCAGGACGTCTTCAAAAATGACTGCAGACGAGGGGCGCCTGGGTGGCTCAGTGGGTTAAGCCACTGCCTTCGGCTCGGGTCATGATCTCAGGGTTCTGGGATCGAGCCCCACATCCGGCTCTCTGCTCAGTGGGGAGCCTGCTTCCCTCTCTCTCTCTGCCTGCCTCTGTCTACTGTGATCTCTCTCTGTCAAATAAATAAATAAAATCTTAAAAAAAAAAAAATGACTGCAGACCTTAAAGGGTTTTTGTCTACATCAATTCTTTCTACCCATGGTTGTTGCCATCTTAAAAATTAAAACAGACATTTTGGATGAATATCATTGGATGCCACGCAGCCTCTTGAAAAACTGTACTGTACACTCAAGAGAGAGGAAAGAAAAAAAAAAAGACTTAACATTATTATGAAAGTAGTTTTGACCTTGCAGGTGGCCTGTGAATGGGCTCCCCAGGCGTTCCCAAACCCTATCTGAGAAGCACTGGTCTAAACTTGTATACATCAGCCAAGTCTTTTGAACAGCTGGATGAAGAAATGACACATACTGAATAAGAGGATGTAATTCCATTTAAAAGTTTTGAGTCACTGAGTCAAAGGACATATCTTTTTCTAGAGTGTTGCTCTATTTACTACTGCCTCCAAACCATGAGCACATCAAAAAGCTCCTGTCTGGGCATATGTCACATAGAATTGCTCCCGACTTTCAATCTCCGTTTTGACCAAGGGCTCTGGTTTTCTATCCGTCTGCTAAATATCTTATCCAGTTGTACCACAGCTAAGGGGGTACTTATTTTAAAACCTTTGCCTTTTTTTTTTTTAATTTTATTTATTTATTTGACAGACAGAGATCACAAGTAGGCAGAAAGAAGAGGAAGCAGGCTCCCTGCTGAGCAGAGGGCCCGATGCGGGACTCGATCCCAGGACCCCAGGATCAGGACCCGAGCCAGAGGCAGAGGCTTAACCCACTGAGCCACCCAGGCACACCACTTGCGTTTTTTCTGATTTTTAATCACATATACAAACACTCATTGTAGGAAAGTTAAAAATATAGAAAAGTATTTTTTCAAATAAGAAACAAATACAGGGGTGCCTGGGTGGCTCAGTGGGTTAAAGCCTCTGCCTTTGGCTCAGGTCATGATCCCAAGGTCCTGGGATTGAGTCCCATATAGGGCTCTCTGCTCAGCGAGGAGCCTGATTCCTCCCTCTCTCTGCCTGCCTCTCTGCCTACTTGTGATCTCTGTCAAATAAATAAATAAAATCTTTAAAAAAAAGAAAGAAAGAAAGGAAGGAAGGGAGAAATACCATGTACCCACCCTCTGAGAAAACCACTGCTAACGTTCTGGACAACATCCTATCATGGATATCCAAAACTGTCGTGAAGGTAGTATCTTAAAAATAACCTAATGTCTTTTTTATATATTATTTTTAGTATGAAAGAATGTACATTGCTTAAGAAATTTAGAACATACAAGCAAAAAGAAGATAATGCTTTTAACATTTTGATGTGTATGTGTAGTCATGTATGTCTTTTGAAAAGGGAAATAATGATCCAGCTGTACATACTGTTCTGTAACTTGCCTTCTCTACAACTCATTTAAAACATCTTTTTATGTCACTAAATATCCCTTCATCCCTCCCTGTTATTTTTATTGTATGACTGTATACCACAATTATTACCTTCCAAAAATTACTATTATTGTAATATACGATGAACACATTGCCTCAATTTTTGTACACATCCATGGCAACTGCCTTTGAGTAACTGTTGTAGAAATGGAATTTCTAAGTCAAAAGGTATGTGTATTTTTGAGACTTTGATACACATTGTTTAAATTCCCTTGAGAAATGTATTCTTTCACTGCGTCTGAAAGAGCCGGATAATCTCTTTCCTACCTTGACTGAGTACATTTTCATGTTAGGTGTATGTTTAAAGATTTTTTTTCTTTTTCTTTTTTTAATTTAATTTTATTTATTTGACAGACAGAGATCACAAGTAGGCAGAGAGAGAAGGAAGCAGGCTCCCTGCTGAGCAGAGAGCCCGATGCGGGGCTGACAAGGGTCAGGTATGAGGATGGGATCATTTTTTTTTTAAGATTTTATTTTTTGAGAGAGAGAGAGCACATGCGCACAAGTATGAGGTGGGGTTGGGGTCCACGGGACAGGCAGAGGGAGAAGCAGACTCCTCATTGAGCAGGGCACCCTATGTGGGGCTTGATCCCAGGACCCTGGGATCATGACCTGAGCGGAAGGCAGAGGCTTTAACCCACTGAGCTACCCAGGTGCCCCTAGGTGAATGTATTAAACCTCTGAAATAAGCTGACTCTCCTTACCCTGGCCAGAATAGAAGCTCTGGATGGCAAAGACCTTTATTTTGTTCACTGGTGTCCTATAAGCGCAGTGCGTGGGACCCAGTACACCCTTGGTAAGTGTGTGTTAGAGGAGGTGACGTTTAGTCAAGTAGAGTCATGTCTATGCTGGGGGGAGAGCTGGGGGTAATGAGTTCCAAACTTCACTGCTTCATAGTAAGGAGGAGCCAAGTAAGAAAAACTCTAAATGAAGGCAAAAACTGAATTTCAGTTTTACTCTTTAGTTGACTATAGAGATATTGATCTGAGTGTCAAGGTGAAACTGCCTCAAACCTGGCACAGTAAAATATTCAGAGAAAAAATTCTGCTGGGTGGATATTAAGCAAAACAGTAGCATCCACCCGCCAAGAGAGATAAGACACAGGGCTGTACTTCATTGGATGCGATGGCATTTGTCCAAAGCAACAGCAATCAGATCTGACTGTATTTAAACATAAGAAGGAAGAAACAATTCTCAAGAAGGTTCCTTTTCACTGTGGGGGGAGGGGAGCGTTCTGTATAACCATGGAAAAATCAATTATTTTTCAATCAGATGGGGCGTCCTCATAAATTCAAGGCAGACCACAGCAAGTGATATGCCTTCATGAAAATAATGACCACGAAGGAAAGAGTTTAAAATTGTAATTCTGAGGTTGCTGCTAGGAAGAGAGAGCTTTCAAGAGCAGAACACGGGTCCTGTAAGCGTGGCTCTGTGAACTTACAGGCTTCCATGTACCCAATGTTCATCAGCCTGCCCAGTGGTCTCTACAAAATCCCATCCTGTCCAACTTGCCTCCCATTTGGCTCTGATTTTTAAGTAACACACTAAAATCCTTTCTTTACAGCATGATGATAGGTAAATAACACAAATGTAAAACATTAACCCTTCTTACCAGCAACAATGTGTATTATATCATCTATCTTTATTAACAAGAGAATGCCTGAGAAAGTAGAGAGGATAAAAACTTTTGACAAAATTTATAGTGAAATCCTGATGATAAAGTTTGGGATCAATATAAAGATTAGAAAGTCAGAACTTGCAAAAAGATCTGAGTAGAGTATGGAAACTGGAAAGATGGGTCTCCAAGTGTGCACGAGAGCCAAGGGAAAGGAGAACCCTGGGGAAACTTTTGCACCCACAGTGTCCTCAACATGTGAGGCTAGAACATAAGTCCCAAATGAACAACCAATCAAATCTGTTTATAATATTAAAAAGGTGAATAAATGTGAGGGATCTGCTGTGTAGAAATCTTATGTATAAACAAATGTACTGGTGGGCAAGCTGTCTCAGGCCCAGAACTGCACCCCCTTCTGGTGTGACCCCAAACTCTGCCACAGACAGAAATTCATGAATGTGGGGAGAGAAGCCACTACTTGGTGGACAGCAGTTCACCATCAGGTTAGCCTGGTTAAACTGGTCAAACGGTCAGTGTCTTGTGCCGTGGGGCTCATTTCAGTTGTTTTCTAGTGATATCATTGCTAAATAACCCCAAAGAGAGATGTCAATGGCTCACTGTAATCACAATCGCCCCATCACTTCACAGGAATCACAGTGGACCTTAGAACACTGTGCCGCCCTCCAACTTGACATCTCCACAGTTCAAGTGTCCCACACGCTAGCTGGGGTTTGGGAAGGAAGGAGATTTATGAAACTGTATGTCCAAGCAAGTGGAAAGTGCACAATTCAAAACTCTCCAGCTTTCTAGAAACAGATCTACTTGGAAAATCAACCGTACCCACAGAAATATTTCCAACATTCTAACTCACATATCCTACTTGATGAGATGATTGTCTGGTTTTATTTAAGCTGAGATCTATTTCCTCCCCAAAGGGTCGTGTGTTCTTTGTCTTATGCCAAGAAAACCATAAGAAAAATGCTGACCTATGAAAGTTACACATCATGCTTAATCACTACTTTAAATTAAAATAACATAAAATAAAGCATTCATTGGGACACTTAGGCAGAACACACCTTCCCAAGCAACAGACACACCTACTGAGACACTTGAAATGTCTGAGGAGTCTGGTTCCCAGCTGCATATCAAGAGCCAAACCATGACATCAGGTCTTGAGTTGCCCTGTAGAAACTTAAGGCAGGGCTGTCATAGCAAACTATGTCCACCAATCAGACTTCCCAAGAGTTGTCTTCACGTTTCAGTACACCAAATCCTGACTAATAGACGCCAAGGTTTGCAACGACCACAGTGATGAGTCTCCTCCTCTTCCCCACCCTCCATTCATGACTTTGGGATGGAATACCTGCCTACTTTCCAGTATTCCGAAAGCTCGCTTCTCAAAGACTGCTTAAAGGTAAGTATTTAAGCCAGTGTTGTGGTGATGGTGGGAGTCAGAACAGGTTTTCTTCTCTTGGCCAAATGAAAATCTCTCAAAAACCATGTATTATTTTCTGGTCTCTTCCAGTGGGGTGAAGCAGAGAGCACGAGAAGGCCAGACAACAGGCCAAGAGAAAAAAAATCACCCCTGGAAAGGGGGTTTTAGTAAAGGACTTTCAACAAACTAAATGGGTTTTCTTAAAGCCTAGGGATTCCATAATAACTTTTGAAGACACACTGTCTCAAAGCACTGTCTAATTCTACCACAATCCATCGTGAAGGGGATAATTTACCTCTTCTTGTAGGCCTCTGGCTATGTCTTTCTCTTGTATTAGATCCTTCAGTGGCTCTTAGAATTGGACCCTTACCTCGTTTTCTGGGCTCATATCTACCATCTTCCCCCAGTGCAGTGGTTCTCAGCCACGGGTATTTTTGTTCCCCTAAGGGACACTGGCCAATGTTGGGGAAAGTTTTTGGTTGGCTGGACTGAAGTGGGGGAAAGGGGATGCTACTTAACATCCTTCAAAGTGGAAGACAGCCTCTCACTACAAAGAATTACTCAGCTCAAATGTTAACAGTGTTGAGATATCCTGCTGTACCAAGTTCTTCTTTCTCCAAACACACCAGACTTTCTCGTATGCTTTGTGCCTAAACATAGCCTGTTTCCTTTACCTGGAATGCCCTGCCCTATTCTATGTCTAAGAAATGGCCATTTATCATTCAAGATCTGACTCAAAATGTCACCTCCTCTACAGTCCTTTCCATATCTCCCAAAGCTGGCTGTTCCTTCTGTACTTGCAGAGTTCCTGGTACGCATCTCATTAAAACACTAGCCACACTACCCCCAAGCCTGTCACCTGCTGCAGGCAAAACCTAAGACTCATTCATTGTTCATCCCTGAGTGCCCATTTGTAATCAATTGTTACTTGCTCAGTCACTCAAGGAATATGTGGAAAAGTTGCAGATGCACTTAAGACTCTCCTACAAGGACATCTAAGGGACAACATTGTCCTCAACATCAGAAACAACAACAGCAAATATTTATCAAATGCCTGTAATGTAGATAGGCACTATATTAAGCACTGGTGTACATATGAACTCACGTTCATCCTTTTAATAACCCTGTTAAGGTACTCTTATCAGCATTTTTCAGGAGAGGAAACGGAGGACAAGAGAGGTTAAGCCACTTGCCCAAAGTCATCTGGAAGAGCTGTTATTTAAACCCGGGTAGTCTGGCTTCAGAACTCAATCTTTCAATATTTATTCCAAGGCAATTATACTAACAACCAATATTTCAGCCACTCAGAAGCTTCTGACAAATACAATGACACATCTAGAAGGCTATTACAACCACAGTGCGGCCACCACCTCCTGTGACACCGCCTATGAACAATGCTCGCTGGTGTCCCCCCACTCTCCAACCTCTGGAATGCTTGTGGCAGGAGAAGCAACCTTCTCACATTGTGGGAAGGCATTATGTACCCAGAAGAATCATGGTACTGTAAAGAAGACACAAAAGCTGATTCTCAAAAGTATCTCTTACCTTGTTCATGCTGCAGGGACCGGAGCAAGGGCTCAGACATGTCACAGTGTGAGGCAGCTCTTAAAGATTCTCCTCGTTACTGTAGACTTCACTTCCTGAAGCAGATAGCTGCACTGCAAACACAAAGAGGAAATCCATCAGCGGGTGCTTCAGGAAAACCTGAGCAGTCCCGCATCCAGTGGAACTTTCTGCCATGATGGCAATGCTCCCTGCCTGTACGGTCCAGTATGGTAACTACTAGCCACATGTGGCTACTGATCCCTTGAGATGTGGCTAGTGCAACTAAGAGGTGAATTTTAAATTGTATGTGATTTTAATTAAATTTAAATGTAAAGATCCACGTGTGGTTAGTGGCGATGTTACTGGACAGTACAGGTCTAGAGATTCAAATCAGAAGTCTTGGGGTCACAGACACTAGACATGCCAGTGGCCAAGGAAAAGCTGGATATCATATACTCAGAGCAGGTATCAACATACCAGAATAAGAACCTTCCTTCAATAACTATTTTTTCGCCCTTACGAAGTGCAGGGTATTGAGGACATAGGGATCAATAACCCAGAGGGGTCGCTTATGTAAAAGTTTCCCACTCAGGCTTCAGCCTTCTTGGGAGGGGAAAGGATCTAGCATGTGAGTAGTACTTACTTTGTGCCAGATCTCAATGCCTCCCCTGCGGCCTATGAGGAAGAGAGAGGCATTTGCTGAAGACTGACTACACAATGCCAGGCTCAACAGATAGGACCTTCCAGATAGGACCTTCTCCAGGTAGTAGAGCTCCTACCAGAAGGGAATTTAGGAGGTCAGTTTTCCATGAGCCAAATGAACCAGACGACTCAACATCCCCTCTGATGGGTTATTTAGGGAGGCTTTTTGATTCACTTGAGTGACATTTTCGAGTGAAATTGTTATTTGTACAGCTCCAGAGCTCTTAATGTGTCAACCATTAAGGAAAAATAAAGAAAATATCTGTAACCACTTAATTAGATTTGTAGTCTTTTTTCTGAACAATGTTTGTGGGTGACTTGGAAAGGAGAGCCAAACATTGTAAGGTTCCTTGTAATCATCTTATTTCTGTGCTACTTTTTCTGGTTGCATCTAGGAAGGATTTAAATATCCGAACCTTTCCCTAAAGACTGGAATTACAGGTTTAAATGGAACTGCAGTGCTTTAAAATATATATTCTTTTTAATAATAATATATAATAATGATACAGAAACTGTTCGCTAAGAAAAGAAAAAAGTTGCCATAATCGTGCTCAGCATCATCACTTTTAGTTCTTAGCACTCAGCCTTTGTCTAGTGGGGGGTGACCAGAGGTCCTGGCGTGTCTGCTGAATCGAGGACACAGAGAAGTCCAAGGCTATATTCCTTATGTTAACATCTTTCACCATCGAGAAAATGACTTTGTAATATATATTTTCTAAAGATAAACTCCTACCCCATACACATTACTATTCTGTGAACATAAGATTATTAAATTCCTTGCACAAATCAGAAGATAGGGAGAGGAAATTACAGATCACTCCCTGGCTATTTGACACACATAGATTCCAAAGAAAATACCACATTGAGTCACAGCAATAACATATTTTAAGAATGATGTACAGCATGGAGAGACCCTGGAATTCTCTCTTTGGGATTCTGATTTTGTAGCCCAAATACATCCAAATACCTCTCGATGTCTTGTACGCCTGAGTAATCGATTGCTGCTTCAAAGTCAAGAAAATTCAGTATCTAATGCGAACCAATCTTATAATGACAAAGAAAATTACGCATGTAACTTCTACTCTTTGAATTTCAGAAGCAGATGCTAATACATTTCTGTTTCCAAGTAGAACTCTATACATGCTGTTTCCTTTTTAATGTATGTAATTCAATCCACTTAAAGCCTACAGCCCAGCACTTTACTGGGAAACTTATCCAAATGCCTTGCACAGATGCCTGATGTCACAATTCCATTAAATTGTACACACTGGTATCAACACAGGAAAGGTGGGCACAAGAAGATAATAATAAACAGACAAGGATTCTTGAACATAATTTCCCCAGGGAAATTCCACCCAGCTCCAATCATGCCACGGTCCCCATTCCCTCAGAACTTGGGGATACAGTTGGCACAGAAGTCATTACGGATCCTCCCCTCTGTTCCCCACCACCCCAAGTGTTCTTACACTATTTTCATGTATGTTGGTTCTACAACAGAGTCAACGTACAAACTCTTTGAGGGAAATATTAGTCACATAGAAAGTACTTGAATACTATGAACGATTTTTTTTCTTTGTTCTCACAGAGCCTAGGATGATGTAGACTCTTAACATATAGTCTTAAACACAGTGTTCATAATCATTGCAGACTGCCTTTAAAAAAAAAAAAACCTTTTAATGTCCAGGACTGTAAATCTTTTGGAAAAATATTGTTAAGAGTATCTTACAGCTGTATAGTGCTCAAAACTGCACAATGCACTTTTCTATGAATACTCTGAATACTGATACTGATCTGACTGGTAGTTTTTTAAATCAGGAAACCAGATTCAGAGAAGTAAAAGAATTCTTCTTAGTCATGCTGTCATAGGCAGTAGACCCTGGGCTTCAAGTGGCTTCATTTCAAGATACTACAGAATTAAAATACGTACAAAGCCTACACATAAAATACCTCTCCTAATCTCTCTCTCTCTCTCCCCCTCTCTCTCTCACACACACACACACCATCATTAACTGAAAACACCTCAGCAAACAGATGACAGTTTTAGAAATTGGGTCAGTTCACTTCTGGCCAGCAACCAAAAAGACTGGCCTTGTTCTACCAAGTATTTTAAATCTCCTTTGAAACAGAGAGAACCTGGTGGTTTTGCAGCCAATTCCATTTAGAGGCTCAGAGAAATCTACAGCTTAAAAAAGGAGATTGCATCTTAAATAAAGCATTAGGGGAAAAGATACAGGCATTACCATGGTGGAATTAAGGGAGTTTTCTTCTTTATTCTATTTTTGAATGTTTCTTTTTAATCGTTCGCGAAGTTGGACTCCTCTGATACTAAACAAAAGGCAAGTACAGATACCTTCAAAGGGTGCCTGGAGAAAGCCAATCCCAGAAGCGATCTGTGACTTCCACTCAGTGGATCCTAACAGAGTTAGCTCAATGGGCAACAAAGCCTGTGGTCACCTTTAGGCTTTGGAAAGGTTAATGAAATGTAATTCATCTTTCCAGGTGGGTAGAAGGGTGAGTAAGCAGAAAAGTAGAGACAGAGCAAGAAGAAGGGATCAAAGAGAGAATGAGCAGAAAAGGTGAAGTCTACAAAGAGAGAAGACAATGAAGGGGCAAGTAAGCAAACAAAGACACTTAGAAACAGGCCCAGCGATGCAGACAAGTGTCCCTCACCAGCCAGGTCCACACTAACAGAAGAGACAAGGAGAGACTTGGGCTCCTGGTGACACCACCACATCCTACGGCTTCTCTGGGTGTCAGCAAGCGGAGCTGAAGCAAAGTTAAGACTGGACTTACTTGTTTCTCCACTATTTATTTACCATCAGCTTCCACCTACCACAGAGAAAAATCTGTTTTCTCTGAATCACTGATAATGTGCTACAGAGGTATGGTGAGAACAGCATAAGCCAACTTTACTCTAGTCTCCTTACTCTCACGAGAGTACTCTTTAGAGAAGTTATTCTTACTCTTGACACTCTTGTATGTGTCAAGGAGCTGTTCGTGCGTGCACGCACAGTGCTGTTTCTTGGCCCTTGAAAATGCAACTAATAGCGCCAATATAGAATGGAGTATGATCAGTTGGGCTTTTCTTCCTGATCCAACTCTCCCTACCCCCTTCCAAGATGTGCATTTTAGAAGGCTTTTGTCATATAATGCAAAGCTGGGCTGCTCAGGCATTCCTAATTCCTACGGGAAACAGGCCCACAGGAGCCAACAGGACACTCGTAAGGTTAATGGTCTGGCTGGCTTTTAGATATAATGTACCCTGACGTCAGTCTGGAGAATGGCCTCCTGCTCCTTCCCTCCTACCACCAAATCCCCAGCCTAGGTAGGCAGGGGGTCAAGCACAAGAACCCAAGAACTTGTGAGGAAGGATTAAACAAAGTCATAAAGACACAAACAGGGTTTGGAGGGAAAAGGGAAAAGGAAAGATGATGAAAGTCTACAGGAAATTCTCTAAATCTAGGACTTCAGGGCTTGGGAAATCAGACAAAGAGATGAGAGATATATCCCTCATACTCACCCACCCCTGTTTTTATGAGTTGGAATAATTTACATGTCTCTGAAGTAAAATCTTAACAACCTTCAATTGAATGGAATCCTTGTACAAGACTGGATAAATTTAAGACCACTCTATTACAGACAGTCCAATCCCTCTCTTCCACAATAAGGAGCATGGTGCTGGGATTAAAGGATCCAAAGGTAAAGCAACAAATGGTCCCCTGTCCCCTTCTCCAAATGCACACATACCTCCCACATGGCTGGCTCCTTCCTTTCTTTCTGCAGAAGAAGCAGAGGAAATCAGAGCAGAGCTCCCTGAGGAGCTTTCCGCAGGCTGCTCCTCCATCCCCAGACATATGTCTCTGGTTCTTCAAGACCTTGGTGTCCTTACCACCCTCACATTTAGGCAGCAAACATGCCATAACATGATTTTGTCCCAAGAGACAGAACGTTTGCCATTCTATCTTGCCCCCACACCCTGCCTTCATAGTATGCCATGGAAAACAAACAACCCAAGTCAGAAGGGTGACAACATCTTCCCATCAGGCATCGTGAGGGCCCTTCATCCCCAAGGACAGGTCACATAATTTGATGATTAACTTTATGAAACTTTGACTAGCATGAGACCAATGGATCCACAAGAAATGGTGATAAGGAAGAGGAAACGAGAGGATTATAAATTATAAAGAAGAGAGACATCACTGGTAGCAGGAAACATTGCCCCGAGAGCCAGACGAGATGGAGTAAGAGTGCCAAGTGACGGTGTGTCCGTCACTTTCTAGGAGACTACTTCGCACACATGTTGAGGGTTTCCTCCACTTCAGAAATCATACGTAAAGATAGCCAGTATTCAGATTCAGGGCTATCACTCTATAAAAGGTCATTTCCAGTTCCTCTCTGATTTAGGAATATA